TAGAAAAAAATATATTTCTGATGGAGTGTGGCCTTGAGACATCAACGTCAGCCGCTAGATAATATATTCGCATATTTAAACAAAATAGATCCTTAGAGGATCAACCAGACCGATAGCAATGATAATTACCAGGATATGCCTATGAAAGCCGAATGTGCCCCATCAAATGCTGGAGCTACCCCAGAAGCCAAACTGTAAAAATATTTAGCTAATACTAATTTTTGGTAACAGTTTTTATAATTAAGTAACAGAGGACAATTACCAGCCAGAACGTTATAGATCCCTAATCAAAAAGTGTCGAATGTGCCCCAGTCTCCTCTATAGGGTACTGTTATAGTGAGGCTATAATAAAAAGTTGACCAATATTGATGATTTGTAATAAGAAGATTTGTTTTTCGATGTGAATTCAAAATACCAAATAAATCCAACTCTGTAGAAAGACGTCCCCATATTCCCCAAAATACCGAAAATTGAGATTTGCTATAACAATGGGGCTATCGTAAAAAGTAGACCAATACTGATAATTTTCAGTCGGAAGATTTGATGCTCAATGAAAATTCAAAATACCAAATTCGGTACCATATACCATTTTCAATACCAAACATCCTAAGAGTAATAGCAATGTTGGGCAAAATTTGAAAGCTTTATCTTAAATGAGTCTTTTATTTCGAATGTGGTTTAAGTCCATTTTTGTTATATTGAGATATTTAAGGTTTGGGTTTGATTTGTTTCAATAATATTGCCCTTAAACACGATAGAATATATAACATAATATGTTTTGTAAACATTTCTAGAAAATCCATTGTGAGGGATGTACCAGAAGGAGTGTACCTTGGCACTTGGCACTCAATCTGGGTTGGGTACAGAAAATATGTTGTGCACATTTTGGTGTAAATCGGGTAGCCCGTTCGCATGATATTACAAAATTAATGTTTAACAAAATTTTGACCATTTTGTGTGAGAGGTACCGGAAGGAGTGGACCGATAATCCCCATTTTCGAACGTAAACTAAGTTTAGAAGAAATATTACGATGTGCTAAGTTTGGATGGAATCGGTTACGCCCTGTTATAGTGCACATCAGCCGGCCCTACAGACGGACAGACGGACATTTGTAAATCGACTCCAAATTGTCTGAAACGGATTTGGTTTAAAGAAGTACCAAGAAGTCCAGTTGGAACCAAAAACACATTGGTACTTCATTTTAACTCTCCTCAGTGGCCCCCATTCCAATTTTCAGAATTCTACCTCTTTTCTTTTGTACCATATTTAGGACGTTTGTAGTTTGTGTATTCTTCTGGATAGAATTTCCAAGACTCATATTTACAATATTTAGTATCATTTAGTACTTTTCGTACTTATAAGTACGAATTTCCAACATCGCCTCAATACTGTAGTTCTGTAACAGTATTTGTTATTCCAAATATAAGTTCTATCTCTATCTGTTCATCCCATCATTTCCATTCTACCCCAAACTTCAAATTGTACTAAATTTAATACTTTTCGTACCCAAAAGTACTAATTTCCTAAACTACCTCAATCCTACACTATAACAGTCATTTTATTTCCCAATTTCAAGACTCCAACTAAATCGAACTTTTACCAAATCTAGTACCATTTAGTACTTTTAGTACGCATAAGTACGTTTTTTTAAAGCTACCTCAATCCTGTACTCTAATAGTAGTCCCAATTCCTATTTTCAGGAATTGGGACTACTACGCTCAACTAAATGCAAATAGTACCATTTTGTTTTTTTCATAAACATAAGTACGAATTTCTAATACCATTTCCATACATAAACACACACTCAAACTTTTAAGCTTCTATCTTCGGCCGTTTCGTCTAGCCCGCTAGCAAGAGGAACTATTTCGTAATCAGAAAGTCGTCGATTCTCAGCTCTACAGTGACTAGTTCCACTTTACACCCCTTTACAATGTATTTAACTGTTTACTTTAACATGGGGATGTCATAGGAGGCAACCAATTGACACTCCTTCGCTTAGTATTATACTAGTTACAGGTTTAAGTCAAAGACTAGTTACATTAGACTACCCACCTTTCTAGTTCCGTAAGAACTAGTTCAGTACCGTTTTTATGATGAAATTAGCAATAAAACACTCATTTAATAATTTGATTTTAATTTTAATTTTTTTTTTTTAATTGCATATAAGTAAAACCGTACTACTTTCATACCGCAATTTCGGTCGTGTCAGATCCTTCGGTTACAGGTACTGAATCTGGAAATAAATAGCAATGATTATAATATTATAGTAAAAAAGAGAAAATATGTGTCTAATACCTTACCTAAAAGAACATTGCAAAAATTACTAAGAGAATGTAATCCCCTTTTCCATAATCAGAGTCATTAATTCACTTTTTATAATAGATGTCATGACCTTGATCTGTAAGGAAAATACAATAACATTTATTCAATAAGAAATAAATTATATATAGAAGTACTTACATATATATATCCTTCCATTTGAGTTAAAAATCCATTTGTTTTACATGATACAGATTTTCTTTATTATTTCACAATTTGATGCCACCGCACTTCAAGACGATCACAAAAAGACTGGTTATTTCCAAACAAATTTCATCGTGCATTCATGGAGAATAACGGATTTTTTATGCAGACCAACCACCAAAAACTGTGTTTTTTTCTTTAAGGTCGCAAGAGACTCCTTCTCGTTTACTACAGGATAAAAAGGTAGTCAATTGGTTCGGCTGATATTACTTTAGGATCAGATTTTTAACTGGTACGATATAACTAGTGCTGGGACTAGCTACATAACATACAAAAACTAGTTTTTGTGGCTGTTGGGAGAGAATGTTTAAATATTTTTCTCTTCTCTTTTGAAAAAATAAAACTGAGTTTTTTCTTTAATATCGCAAGTGACTCCTTCTCGCTTACTATAGGATAAAAAGGTAGGCAATTGGTTCCTCTTGCATTACTTTAGGGACAAATAAGTAACTTTTACGGTTTATAACTAGTGCTGGAACTAGTTACATACCATCAATTGGAATTTTCATTGCTAGCGGGAGGCGATGATCTGTCAGTCACTCACTCACATTATCACTAAGCTATTTTACTTATGAAGATTAGCCACAGGGCTGAAGGTATAATTAGCCATGTCCGTTTATCTGTTGAAATGACGATAGAAATTTTTGCACAGATATTGCTACTACATTTATGATGTTTGGTATTCTATTAAATTCGGCTATAATTCGATTTTTTACTCGACATAAAATTACAGAATATTTGTGTAAAAAAGCTGATTAGGTTGAAAAGATTCAAAATACCGATTATTGGCGTGTACCTAAAATAACCCATATTGATAATTTTTAGTGGGAAGAATTTATACCTAGTGAGAAATTACAGCTGATTAGGTTGAATATGTGCCAAAAAGCCTCAAAATCCCAAGTGTTGGAGGCACCGTATATTTAGGTATGTTCGTATATCTGGTGCAGTCACGTTATCTTCATTAATAATTTGTTCACTATCCCGACAAGAAATGAGGTTGTTTTACGCCCTACATGGGTTGAACATCCTTTTTTCGGGAATTAATCTACCCAATATAACATTAATATCTATTTTTCAATTATGCACATTTTCGAAACTAATGGATTCTTAAATTGTATTATCCGCCTATTACAACTTGAAAAGTAAGTAAGATATGTTTAGCATGATTTCACGGTACCTCGATAGAATGGAAATAAGAAAAGACTTATACAATATCCAGAACATCATCCTTGTGCCAAATTGCGCCACGAAAAATATGTAAACCATAAATAAAACACATTTAATAATTTGATTTCCAGTTTGTTTGTATTGTTTTATTTAAAAAATAAAATATTTTTGTAATATTTTTTATATAGTTTTTATGATTTTTATTTGTTTTTAAACTTATATAGGGATATATTTTTAGGCGAATTTAAAGTAACTTTACGAATTAGTGTTAAAGAAGACAATATAGTAAAACTAAAAAATAGATAAATCGATATGAGGACCACATAAATAATATACAAAAGATTGGATTGATTGTGTTTTGGAATACTTAGGAATTAGATGAAAATTCTTCTATACAAAGGATGATAGGTTGACTGGATTAGAGTCAATCCGTATACATTTTATTAACAATAAGTATATAGAAAATACAATAACTTTAGAAACCTCGACAAAACTAGAAATATATTAAACAATGTAGAAGAACGAAAACGGTAATTCCATTGAAATCTTGAAGAAGAACGTAAATTACGATAAATATGTTTCTGATTGTTTGAAAAAAAAAACTAAAGTAATATTTAAAATATTTGCCATAACTATAGAGGGCTTGGCTTAAAAGTAAAATTAGAATCCTCAAAAGATATCTAAAAAATGGATTGAATGTTGTTGAAACCGCAGCTTAATTGAATTTTTGATTGCGGTTTTGTGAACCTTCTCCTTGCGGAGTTTGCTTCTGCGAAATTTGGTATGTAAGCTTCGATTCAGAAGGCTTATAGCCGACAATTATCTGAAGCTGTTATTAAACATTTTAAGCTTCTTTTCAATGCTTGTAAAATAACTTTATGCTGGCTTATACTTAGAGGCAGCGCTACCTCTTTGCTTCATACATTCATTCTCTTTAATAAAATAGCTTAGTTATAGCTTTTGTTTTAGTTGCTCTAAACATTAAACACAAAAACAAAAAAATTTAAATTCTCATTTCATTAAAAAATATTGCTAAAACTGCTTCTTAAAAACTGCATCTTATAAACTGCTTATAACATCCGTTCTGCTGCTGCGTAAAAATGTTCTTCTGCTTCTGTGTTTTCTTAGCTTTGAACGCGCCTGCGGTTCTTCTTCTTCTTTTATTTCTCTAAAATCTATCATAACCTTGATTATAATTTAAGATACATATCTATAATGAAATACAAATCCTTAGAGACGCGTTTAAGTCGGGCTGTTACAATTTTGCGGATATCACGCAAAAAGATTGCCCTCCTTCTCCTTCTATATGGTGTACTTGGATGCTTTTGTAGCGCATTTTCTTTTGTCTGTCTCAAATGTGATTTGTCTGAATGCCCTATATGTGGTGGAATGAATCCGTGGGATTCCTTATACAAGGGACCTTAAGCTTAACATAATCCCTAACCTTATAGAGACTTTAGTAATGCATGCAAATCAAAGGATACAATCGGGTATGACCTTTGCTGCCGTTGGCGCTGCATAAACCCTTCAAATGGGTGGTGGTCCTCGTATGTAACGCAATTGCGGTGTGAAACTCATGGACAAATTATTGATGTTGTCGCAACAATTTGGCTGCATAAGACAGGCGGCACAGAACACGGTGAACAAGGCCAATTGCATGGGTACGGCCACACGGGCGATACGCCAGGCCCAGCCGCGTTTTGATTTGGGATTCAATTCATCGTCGGATGAATCTAAATCGTAATTGGAATTGTCATCGGAGGGATCATCATCACCATCGGGTGTGACGGTGGTAGAGGTCATTTGCAAGGCATTGCTTTGAGCCATATCAGCCGCGGCAATGGAGTTTGTGGGTGCAGTCGCCGAGCTACGACGATTTTTGCGTTTACGTCTGCTCAACGAAGAGCCTCCAGTTGACGATGTGACCTCTTCAGTAGCTGCTTGTTGGATCTTATTTTCGAAACCATTCAAATGACCATTACCATTTGCATGACGTCCCTTAAGGCAACCGTTGGCATGTTTCAATTGTTGTGCTGTTTTCGAATCTGTTTGATCTTTCTTTTCAGTCACTTGATCTTGGGCTTGTTGTTTCTTGCTTTGATGAGAAGCTGCTGTTCTCACAATTAAATCGCGACAGGTATTTTGAAGACTCTTTAAATCATTTTCGGCCGATTCCATGCGGGCGGCAATTGATTTCATGGCCTCGCTGCCTGGAGCCAAGGCCGATTCCAATTGTTTGGCCAAACGTCTCAAGACACCCAAACGGCGTTCTCGTTCTGAGAGACCACCATCAGAGGTAGCACCACCATCTGAAATGCCAGAATCCGAAAGAGAACCATTTGAGGCGGTAAATTTGGCAATGTAAAGGATGTGATTGGGATCCAAGTAATCCTGAACGGCAATTAACTGCGGAAAAAGAGAACAATGAGTTAAATGAAATTCACAAATTTTGGGTAGTTATAAAATAGTTACCTGTTCCTGGCTAACATTAACTTTTTCGGACAATAATTTAGCCACCAGTTTAACATTCTGGGCCAACTCCCCGGGAGTGGCTTGGCCAGTTTTCAAAGCACCTTCCAAACCTTGCAATGTGCCACGATCCTGGCCCAAAGCCAATTGGAATTCTGATAGGCCACATTCCAATTGACGCCATGCCGTCAAGGAAGAGGTTAATACTTCCAATTGTGAATTGATTCTGAATGAGGGGGAAGGAAACAACAATAGAAGGAGGTTAGTGGTTTTGTAAATAAATAATGCTTCTTCTTCTCTATCTTACCTTGAATCCGCCTCATCCCAGGCTGTGTACATATCGCTGACTTCATCTTTTAAATGTTTGTGGAATTCATTTTCCGATGTTATCAAGGATTGTAAATCCCAATTCTTTTCATTGGCAATTGTGTGTGTGGTGGTACAGGTACCAATGCTGCTTGTTGATGCCATCATTGCAGATGCTGTTGTTGTAGTGGTGGTGGTGGCGGTGTGGGTTTCAACTTGATTGCCATTACTATCGGTGACAGTTATCATGGTTGTTTTGTTTGCGGATGCTGTTCCTACTGCTGCCGTTGTTGTTGTTGTACTATCAGGTTCTTCTGCTGAGGCTGTTGTTGATGTAATGCCGCCGATCGCCAGTTTATTGTTGTGTTCGGACTCAAATTCGTCTTTTTCCTCTAACAATTCAATGCTGGCCACTTTGGCAGCGGCTTCTTTCAATTGTTGTTCGACAACAGCGTTTTGTAAACGTCTCTCCTGTTTTGTTAACCAACTATGGACGGAGGCATTCAATTTTAACATATTTGTACGATATGTCTGCAATTGGGTTTTTTCATTCTGAAAATAGAAGAAGAAGAAAAGGAGGAAGAACATAGTTAGTTAGACGAATGACAATCAAGAATTTAATTTAAAAAAATGTGTTTTTGTCAGTCAATTGAAACTTCAGATGGATTTTGGTCATTGTTGGTCCGTCTACATGTCGTTGGTCTTCCCTGTAGCTCGAGAAAGTAGGATATATGAAGTTATTTGGATTTGGAGGAGAGAGGATTTTAGATACAATTATGTACATTTTTGGACACTGAGAACAAAAAAGTTTGTAAAAACTGTAATTTTTTGCGGAAACTATAGAGTAGTAGTGGCTAATTTGAGCCTTATTGGGTTCTCAGTTGGTAGAGATAAAAGCTTGGCCGATTTGAAGATTTTCTACTCATATGCGTTTCGCATTTGGGCCAGTCGATTTGGTCAGAAAGTATTATAAGAAACGTGTATTTATTAATTTATGTATGTATGTCAGATCAATCTTGCACAGTTTATTTTTAAAATAAATTACCTAAATATTAGCCCACTCAATTATTACAATTTCCACCAAACCCACACACACATATTTGCTATTGTAAAATTATTTCATGTTCCAATTACAGTAATTTGCTTTTAACTTCGTTTTTGTTCTTATTTTTTCTCCTCTGTCCATTTTGATCGAATATGCAATTCCATAAGTAACGTGGCTTCTTACCTTTAGAGCTTCGATAGCAATTTGAATTGATGGTTCTGTATCTAACTGTTCATATGATGATTTATTGCCTAAACGATTTAGAGCATGCTTCAAGACAATCATGTCTTCTTGCATTTTACGAGCAGCGGCAGCATTTTCGCTCCAACCCAATAAATCCTCCCAGGCAGCTAATAAATCTGCAAATAAATGGATTGGAAAAAGAAACACAAAAAAGAATTGATAAAAATTAGTTTCAATTGTAAAAGTAAGTTGCAAACAAACATACAAATACACAAAGTGAACTATATAATTTCAATTAAAATTAAAACTACAACTACAACAAATATTGTAATGCGAAAGGTAACTAGAGGGACCTTTCGAATTTCTTGTTTTGTTTCACGGTTGTCTGTCTGTTTTCGTTTTTATTTAAGCCTACATTATTTGTTTTTCAAAAATAAAGGTTAATTTTTCTTCTTCTTGTTTAGCTTAGTATCCCAGACACGCATTGCTTGTAAACACAATAGCAACACCAACAACAGCAAAATCGTAAAACATAAGCCAATGTAAAAAAATTGTATTTGCTGCCAAATCGATTTTATCCGCTTCACAGTCCACACAAAATCGATATGTTATTTGCCAAGTAATTGTACAATTTTTTGTTATTAAGAGAAAGGGTTTTGCAATTTCAAAGGAAAAAGTTACACAGAAAAGCGAAAAAATACACGGAAAGAAAATGTATGTAAATATTGTGATCATGGATTTGAGCCATTAAGGCAAATTTTGCAAAATGTTGTCTCCAATTTTCAATCTTAATTAAGCTGAAAATGTTGTTTGATGTTGTTGTTTGTGTTGTATATATCCTCATGAGCTAAAAGGCTAGGGTATAAAAAATAATCTCCTATATGGTTAAAATATTATAATACTTTCTGTGTAAATATGGCGCCCAAGGTGAAGCTTAAAACTTAAAGTAAGCAGCTATTTGACCAAAATTTCATTATTGGCTCCAGAGGAGGGGAAAAATGCAGGAAATCTCCTTCTCAAAGAATAAGTATTGATATGCTCGACGTTTAGACAAATATGTATATATGGCGCCCAACGTGGGGCAGGAATTCGAAAGCAGTGTCCTCTAGTAGAAACAAACATGTCTAATGGTGTCAGTGAAGAAAATGTTAATTATTTAAAATAATATGATGTAAAATCTAATACCAATAAAAAAGGAAGATAAAAGGAATTATTTTTAAAAACTCTTCAAAATTGTAATTAAATTTTTTTGATTAAAAAATCGAATTTGATTTCCCATCATAAAATATATTGTAATTATCGTTGAGAAAAAAAAACATTTTTTGCAAAACCGAAAGTTAATTTTACCTCCGATCACCTTTTTCATGGAAATTGCATGTTAATGATTCATTTTCGCAATCAATTGTTTTTGTTATAAAAATATATACTACAATTGTGTTTTTTCCTTTGTATTATAAATACACACATATATAAATATGTAAACAAAACAAAAAAACTGAAATCCACAGCAAAAGGTATGAAGAAGCAACGATAAAAGGTGTGTAAATTGGGGAAGTAAATTTTTTGTAAAAAAAACATTTCATTTGTTTTTTTGTTTATTTTCATCGCATGAATAAAAATACAATAACTAAGAAAAAAAACATATGCATTTGTTAAGTTTTTATTCCGTCAGTATTTGTTGTTGTAGTGGCGAAATTTCAGATACAAACAAATTTGTTTGTTACAACTTCATGCCATTGCCACATAAAGGGAGTGTTATTACACTGAAGTATTTTATTATTATTATTGGCGGTGTATGTCACCGACTATCACCCAGTGATGTTGATGACGATGATGACGGTGATTATAATGTTAATGTCACTATCCGCCGTATTGTGCCTAAGTTTTTTTTTTGTATTTTCCATAAATTTACTATGATTGTTGCTTTTGTTGTTGTTGGTTTCTTTTTCATTTCTCATTTCTATTTTGTTGTTCAATACAACATTTCCATTTAAAATCAATTAGCCATTCAAGTGCAATGAACTTTTCTTATTTGTTAATAACAAATTCAATGGGTGGAAGAAGAAGAGGAGGGGACAAAAGAAATGAAACGAAAGCAATCATTGTTAATTTATTTAAAATAATTAGAGATTGTTCAACTGATCAAATCTAATTAGAAATACATAAGCTCAATTGGTGGCTAGACGTAAAGTGTGGTTGTGGCGCCCAATGTGGGGTATGCACAATAAACTCAAAGACTGTAATTTTATGTTAGAGGGATTTAAAGAAGTTAAAAAGATTATAACCCGTAAAAATATCGATATAAGTCTGCCCAACTTTTGTATAACATTTAACTTTTTATGAAGATAATTGGTGTTTGTTCAATTTTTAGAAATACATAAGCTCAAGGAACTGTTCAAATAATTAGAAATACATAAGCTCAATGAAGTGATCAAATCTAATTAGAAATATATAAGTTCAATTGGTGGCTAGACATAAAGTATGGTTGTGGCGCCCAATGTAGAGCAAAAGTTATGCATTAAGAGAACAACACTTACATTTGATGCTATAAGAGTTTTTAAAGATATAAAAATAAAAATGTTGGTATATAAGATCAAGCTTTCATATACATATATGCCTCATTTAAAAATTTACCCGAATTTGGGTATTTTTTGGTGACGTTGGTTTTATTTTTAAATAAGCCGAACAAATGTCAATGTTTATACAAGATTTGGAGAGATGTGAATATTTGGCGCCCAACGTGGGGCATAAATACTAAAGTCATTAACCTTACCAGAAATATTATTATTTATGAAGAAAGAGAGAAAGAAAGAATTTGTATATTTAAGCCAATGATACATAAGCTCAAATGAAGTGATTCATTTCTAATTAGAAATATATAAAAATTCATTATTGGTGGCTAAAGGACATAAAGTATGGTATGACTCGAAGTTTAGTATAATATGTATATATGGCGACCAACGTGGGACAGATATTCGGAAGCAATTCGAAGTGGCCATTTAGAAGGCTTATACTTTACCGAATTTTTACATTTCCTCCACTAAACGGCTAAAAACGTTCTGAACTTTTGAATCATGTTTTTGATGGATAATGACAATATTTTTTATATATGGCGCCCAATGTGGGAACTCTAAAATGCTACAGCAATGATAGCGAAAAGTCTGTCCATGAATTGATTAGCTAATGATCATCCTTAAAGAACAATATTAATACTGATAAATTTTTTGTTGTCTCCCCGATTACAGATATTTCAAAGTAGTCATTTAGAGATGGCTTATCTTTAGCAGAAATAGGACATTATCTCCAGGGAACACTTAAACAGATCTAAACTTTTTTATTGTGCTTTTAAAGAGCAATGCTAACAAAATTATGTATATGGCACCCAACGTGGGGCTCCAAAATGATATAGCAAGGCTTGAGGAATTATGATTTTAAAGAGTTATGACAAAAAATGTGGCGCCCAACGTCGGGCTCCAAAAGTATATAGTAAGGCTTGAGGAAAGCTTGTTTATTGACCATACAGTTTCGACTAACACCTTTTAAACTTCTTTAAATATTTCAATCTCACCCTTTTTTATAAATAGTAAACCCTAAATGGATGGCAAGAAAACTACGTGCTTTAAATTAAACTACGATCTACGCACAAACCACTTTCGTGCTTTGTATAATTGATTAACTTCGGCAGATCTGGGCCAAATTATAGAGATAGAATAAATAAGCGAGTGTGCTATCAGCATACCAATGACAAAAAATGTGTCTTTGTAGAGCCGACTTTTTTACAAATATGGAAACCCAGACACTATGACAACTGAATGTAATGAAACAGAGTTGCATTGAGCAATCTAACGGTAACAGTTAACAAAAACAAAAAATATTCTTTTCTCCCTCTGAGATTCTTACCTTCTTTTGGAAAATGTTAACTTGTTTTCAAAAACAAAAATTTAGGGGTGGGTTTTCCCTCGAATTATCAGATGTTAACATGTACAAAACACTGTAGCAGGTAGATGTTTTAGATGTTTATTTGCTTTTAGTAACTGTATACAATTTTATTTGATTTTTTTATTTAGAAATTTTACAACATTCTGTTTTCTAATTTTTTATTTCGACTTTCACTATAATTAACTTTTTTTTGAAAAGGTGCACCATCAAAAATTTAAATAAACTCATTATTCATCACTTGGAAAATTTCACACACTCAAAAAATGCAGCAATAATTCAACAAGACCTCCTCAAGCGGCCATAACCACATAAACACTGATAAATGGCGTATTACGCAAAGCAAAGCAAAACCCAAACAAAAACTGAAACTAAATAATAACTCGTCATACAATTTTAACAACGCGCATGCGTGAGTTGTTTGCACTATTACAGCAATGCAATGTTCAAAATTGACCGGTTAATAATTTCTTTTGGAATTAAATAAATATGTTGCTTAGATGCGCGCCTAGACACATTGGGCGTTAAACATATTTCACGATCTTTTGCCTTCTCTCAAAGATTTTTGTTATTCATTTAATCTCTGTTCAATTTGTTGATGCGTAAGGATATCGAAATTTTTTCAACCACTACCACAACACTGAACGCTTGAAGAGTTGCAACTAAACTGGTTGCAGGTACCACAATGCAACCACAATAAAGGCAGGCAGGCAATACCAAACACTTGGCTTGATCGGCTACAGCTGATTGCTGAACTGGAAAAAATAACGCAGTAACCACCATAGCCTGTTACCGACGTCGTTGTTGTTGTCGTCGTCGTCAGGTAATAGTGGGCTGAATCTATCTATCTGGCTGCATTGTATATTTGTTAAAGAAATAAATACAAATCTATTTGATCAGAGGGTTTCTCAAATGATTTTTCTGTGTGTGTGCAGCCAATGTTTTTTGGGATGACTGCATCTAAGCAACGACTAAAATAAAACCAACAAAAAATTAAATACAAACCCAAAGCGACTGCGCTTAATACTATGGCAAATACTTAAAGAACAGTGGTGCCATATTCTTAAAAATATTTTAAATGGAAGTTCGATTATAAAATTTCATATAAATAACAAAAAGTTTCAACTCCATTGTAGCTCCGTTGCAGAACCTGCAAGAATCGACTAACTTTAATACAAATAAAAATTCTTGTAATCATGAGAAAGCCACTATTTTTTCCAAAATATTAAAATATTCCATT